GCACCCAATACTATGCCACAGACTGGAAAAATACAGGCAAGAAAAAGACACACAAAGTGCTTGATCTCCTGGCGCTCGCAGGGTAGGATTACAGTGGATGAGTAATTATAGTGATTTAATTTTTTTGTGATCTAATTTAAAGGAACGTAGATCCCGATAAAACCTTTAAAGTGAGACTTAACAGATGCATAACTCCTGATTAGGGGAAAACGTGGCAAAGCAGCAAAGATGTGGGGAGGAGGTGCATTTCAGGCAGAGGGAACAATTTGCAAAGACCCTGAGGCAGGAAAGATCTGGGCCCCTTTAGAGGGAGGGAAAGAAGGCTGGTAAGGCTGGATTCAGCTTTGGTCAGAGGGTTAACCCTTTCTATTGCAGAACATTTGCAGGCTTGTGCACACACACACACTCGCACATACACATGGCTGGGGCTCACAACTTTCCTCAGCTCAATTTCTCAGCTCAATACTCTTGGCTTTTTTTTTTTTTTTTTTTTTTTTACTTAGAGAAAGGGTGAAAGGAGAGAGAGAGAGAGAGAGAGAGAGGTCCTGCAGATCTCTGCAGATCTCTGTTTAAGCAACCAAGCTCAAACTTGTCTTACAGATTGCAGTGAGTGGGTCAGAGGTAGACTTAGTCTAGGCTTCAGGTCTTCTCCCTGGGAGGAGTAGTGTAACATGCACAGTGAGACGTGTTAACCACAGCTGGAAATCTGAAATGATACCAGGCAATGAATACAAGTATGGGTCACAGTACTTGTGGTATTTTCAATATTTATTTATGTTTCAACTTTAATGTTTATAATTTTATCAGACGTTTTCTCCTTCTAAATAAACATTCACTAGGGGTACATATTTTATACTTATAATCTTGTGTTGTTCCTAAATTTAGAGAGCCCCCCAAAATTGTAACAACTCCAGGGCAAATAAGACCTAGATCTGCCAGAGTGGGACTCCAGAGCCCTGTCTATCTGTGCCACACCTTACCTGGCTCGTGACCCCCTCTTCTCCCTCTGATCAATTTGGCCTATCCTTGTGGTCCAGATCCAGGGTGTAGATGGCCCATGGGTGCTCCACCCCATGAGTGCTGGGAATGCTGTGGTCATGGAGAGGCCCTTTGGTTTTCACAGAGAACCATGTTGAGGGGTACAGAGAATTAGAGTTGCCTCTTCCTACCCTGTGGGCCCCCAGAATAGAAATCACCTCAAAGAATCTAAATTTTTTTTATTTTAATTTTATTTGTGTTTTTTTTTTTTTTTTTTTTTTTTTTGGTCTTTTTGAGACACGGTCTCACTATGCTGTTCTGGCTGGACTTTAGTTCACTTTGTAGCCCAGGTTGGTCTTGAACTTGCAACGCTCTTCCTGCCTCAGCCTCCTGAGTGCTGGGATTACAAGTGAGGGCCACCATGCCCAGCTCCAAATGCTTCTTTTAGAAAAACATTTTGTCATGCTAGCCAAGTGCTCTACCATTCAGCTAGAACCCCAACCGAGGACCCAAGTTCTTAGGTAAAATGAGAATCTTTTCTTTTCTTTCTCCACCCCACCCCCAGTACTATGGATTGAACCCAAGATCTTTACACAAAGTTTCGTCCACAGTCCTTTAAAAAAATTTTTTTTTAAAAAAAATTTGAAATAGGGTGTTACTAAATCACTACATTGCCAAAACTGGGCTCAAATTTGTAATCCTCTTGCCTCAGCCTGCCAGAGTGCTGGGATTATAGGTGTTAGGAGTCAGAGGCATCTCTGTGAGCTCATCTCCTGGTAGGAGTGGAGACCAGTCTGGGTCCGCAGGACCTGCTCTACTAGAAGTGCTCAGGTGGTTGGCTGGGAGGGTGCAGGGGAGGATACGTGGAGTGAAGCCACTTGTTAGGATAGGTGGTACCGAGAGAGGGCGCCATCTTCTTTGGGCACTGGGTAATACAGAGTCCTCCCACCCACATGGAAGGGCCTCGGATCTGACACTTAGAAACTTGGATTCAATTCCTCCTTCACTGCTAACTGAACAGCCTGAGCAAATATCTGCAGTTGCCTAAAAAATCTTGCCCCCACAATTGCAAAATCAAGGTAAGACTGGGCTGAGGACATAGCCTGGCACATGTGAAGTCCTGAATTAGGAGAAAAACAAAAAGATAAGACCTTTTCTTTCCACTTCTACAAGAAGAGCCAGTGAGATAACGGATAGTGACATTAAAAAAAAAAAAAAAACTTTTTATTTTGTGTTCGTGTGTGGTGCTGAGGATTGAACCCAGGGTTGTGTACATGGTAGGCAAGTGCTGTACCACTAAGTTAAACCCCTAGCTCCAAATGTTTAATTCTGAAATAATTTCAGATTTATAAAAACAGTTGCAAGAATAGTAAAAGAATTCCTATACACTCTTCTCTCACATTCCCTAAATATTAAAAATTTACTTCATTTGATTACTGTCTTTCTGAGGAAATATACATATTTATATTCCATAAAGTTGCAGACATGATGATGCCTCTCCATCCCTAAATATTTCAGAATGTATTTCCTAAGGAAAAAAAAAGCCATCCAGGTACAGTGGCACACACCTGTCATGCTAACTACTCAGGAGGTCGAGGCAGGGAGAGCACAAGTGACTCTGTGAGACCTTGTTTTAAATTTTAAAAGGAGGCTGGAGTGGGGAATATAGCTCAGTGGTGGTGCTTGCTTAGCATGAATCCCTGGACCCAGGTCCCAGTGCCACCTGGGACATTCAAAACAAAAACAAGGACATTCTTAGCTGGGTGTGGTAAGAACATCTGGTTCTTACCAGATGGTATTTATTGATCTGGTATTTATTGATTGTTGGTACTTATTGATATTAAAGAAAATCTGGTATGTATTGATTTTTATAGGGTCTTGCTCTGTAATTCAGGCTGGCCTTAAACTCACTGTGTAGCCCAGGTTGGCCTCAAACTCCCAGGGATCCTCTTGCCTCGGCCTCCCAAGTGCTAGGCTTACAGGTGTGCACCACAACTGTTGGTTCTGTAGTGCCTCTGGTCCCAGCTATGGGCAGGGGATGCAGAGAGAGAGGCAGTGCAGGAGGATCACTTGAGGCCAGCGGAAGGCCAGCGTGGGCAACAAAGTGAGGCCTCATGTCAAAACACAAACAAATCCTAAAAACCAAAGTCATTCTTAACAGTCCGAATGTCAAAATCAGGATGATATAATCTACAGGCCTTCCTCAATTTTTTGGTTGTCCTTCCAAAGGTCTAATAATATCTTTTGTTGTTCAGAATCAATCTAGGATCACTCATTGCATTAAAACGTCACATTTTTATCTCCTTAATCTGGACAGTTCCTTGGTTTTTGTCTTCTATAACCTTGGTGTTTTAAAAAATGATAGGCCACTTGTTTTGCAGAAGTCCTTCCAATTTGGATTTGTCTGAGGCTTCGTCCTAATTAGATTCAAATTAGGCATTTTTGGCAGGAATGGCACAGAATGATGCATCTCTCTTAGTACAACACATCAGGAAGCCATGATGTCAGTTTACCCCATTAGAGGTGATGTTGAACTTGAATCACCTGGGTTGAGGTGGTGTCTGTCAGTTTTTTCTACTGTAAAATTACTATCACTCACTTTTTTTTTAATACCAAGAATCAAACTCATGACCTTGTGCTTGCTGGGCAGGTGCTGTGCAGCTGTGCTATATACCTGGCCTCTCTCCTTTTTTTGAGACAGGGTCTCACTATGTAGTCCAGGCTGGCCTTGAACTGCGGTGTAGTCCAAGCTGGCCTAGAACTCGTGGCAATCCTCTTGCTTCAGGACTCAGCTATCAGGAAAGTCCAGGTCAGATGAAGAGGCAACAGAGATCTGTGTTTGGGGAATACGATCCCCTGACCTTCTCAACACTAGCACTACTGCTCCCCAGACTCCTCCCAAACCTGGGCTTCTCCCCAGTCTGTGCAGGTGGCTTTACCACCTTAGAAGTCTCTGGGGTTTTGAGAGCCATCACTGATGTCTCCACAGAGGGCATTTTGCAAGGTGACACCTCCCCACTTTTCCTCTAGAAGCCCCTGCTTGGTAGCACCTGCAGCTGCTATGACAGCGAATTTGAGGGAAACCACAAGACCAGAAGCTGAGCCAGTGTGCTGAGGTGGAGGCAGGTGGAGGGGACGGGGAATAAGGTCCCCGCTTGAGAAGTCCAGGTGAACACACAGAGGGGTACAGGTCTAGCAGGCTTTGAGGATCCCAAAGCAGCTGTCACCACAGAATCCTCTGCCTGTGGTCACTCTCTAAGGGGACACTGAGTGGCAGGTTTCTCTGTCCCTTGTACCTCCTGATGTATTCTGGTAATACATTCACACTTTATAAAAAAGCTATCTCTAGGCAAATGAGTTCAAGAAACTCTTGCTGAATTTATCTCAAAACTTCACACCTTTTCATCTGATACCACTCAGGGTTAAGAGTTGTAGGCTGGGTGCAAAGCAAAATCTGATATTGCTGTAGTCCGTAGGGAACAGTCTTCCAGAACCTACAGCAGCCCGCTCTTTAAAAAGGGATACATCTTCACTTTTTTAGAACACTTTTTTGGACTTCTTTGCTGAACTAAAAGTGAACAAATCTATAGGTGATAATATGTTTGGATGCTCTGAATTTTTAAACACCTGGTATTTATTGATTTTTACAGGGTCTTGCTCTGTAATTCAGGCTGGCCTTAAATTCACTGTGTAGCCCAGGTTGGCCTCAAACTCCCAGGGATCCTCTTGCCTCGGCCTCCCAAGTGCTAGGATTACAGGTGTGCACAATTGTTGGTTCTGGATTTTTGTTAAAAGACAAAACTGTGGAATTTACTTCGTAGAGTACTAATGACAGTACATATACATATAAATGCAATTGTATATTATATAAAATTACATATGTAAATATAATATATACATGTATCTTATAAAATTATATATATTTTATAAAATTATATATATTTTATAAATTATATATATATATATATATATATATATATATATATATATAATATAAATCAGGGTGTTGAACTCCCAAAACCTTCAGTGCACATTGTCTTTTATTTGATTTTATTTTTTTGGTACCAGGGATTAAACTCACAACCTTATACCTGACAGGCAGGCGCTTGCTGCTGAGCTAAATCCTGGCCCAAGTCCACGCTGTCTTCGAATAGAGGCTTCTAAATAACCGACATGCAACCCTCCATATCAGGAACACAGAACTAAGCACAGGTAGAGCACTAAGATCTGATCTATGTTCAGATTTCACCAACCGTCCCAGGGCCCTAGAGTTTTGATCCAGGAGAGAACATATTCAAGAAAAATCAAAAGACATTCACTTGAAGCAGTGGCTCCGATTCTTCTGCCCACGTTCACAAGTGTTTTCATGAGTTACTCAAGGATGTGACTCTGGAGTTAGGCTGTTGCGTGATTCGGGCTGATCTGCCAACTTTATTTCCTTTTCTGTGAAACAGAAATGATACCTTCTCTAGGAGGCTGAAATAATAAAGTCATGTCATAATTTCCTTCTTCTATTTACCTATTTGTGGTGCTGGGGATCAAACCCCCGTGTGCTAGGCAGGCTGTCTATCACTGAGCTATTCCCATTTTACAAGATGGGTAAGACAAGGCCTCGTAGGGGCACAGGAAACCATGAGTCCCCTGGTAAGAGGGCTTTTCCTAACTGCGTCCTTGCTCTACGGTCCCTTGACACTCTCTGTGTCTTCCTGATCACTGTCCCTTAGTGGGGTATTTTTTTACCCAGGTTATGGCCGAAAGAGGTGTGGTGTCTGGTGAGCTTCAGATCCCACAGGCTTGCTTGGGTCCTGGAGGGCATGTAAGTGAGGGCACAGCAGCTGTGGGGAGCATGGATGGGCCACTGTGGCGAGCAAGAGCCCTACGCCAGGGCTGGTCAGAGCCAAAGGAGCTACTTTCACAAGGGCCTCACACTTCGGCACCTCTCGCCCTCTGCTGACGAACTGGAGCACAGTCTTCCCATCACTAGGACAACCTGGCTTTGGTGGGGTAGGCAGGTTTTGCTGGCCTAGTGTGTTGAGAGCCCCAGGATACTTGGCTTTTCAAGGAGGCAATTGGTAGCATCCCTCAGGTGACACATTTGGAAACCACAGGGCCACCCTAGAACCTCCAAGAAGTAGTTCTCTTAACAGCTCCCATTCATCCAGCCCTTGTTCTACACAGCGTGTTACAGCCTCTGGAACAGCCCTGAGAAGTCTGCTGTTATCATCCCTACTTGGCAGATACAGAGGCTAACGCCAAAACTTGTTCCACAGCTTGCTCATGCTGCAAGCTAGTGGGCCAGAGACAGCATCTAACCCCAATCTGGCTGCCTTTGAGACCTTCAACTATTAACAAAAATCCTTGACTGCTAGAAATAACTGAGATAGGTTTTAAGGCAGGCTTCATGTGGTTTATGTTCTTTCTTTTTTTTTTTTTTTCAGACAACTTTTGCTATGCACTTCAGGGTGGTCTTGAATTCACCTTTTTTTTTTTTTTTTTTTTTTTTTGTCTTTTTTTGATTTTTATTGGTACCGGGGATCGAACTCACGACCGCCTGCTTGCAAGGCAGGTGCTTATGCCACTGAGCTAAATCCCCAGCCCCCTCTTGAATTCACTTTGTAACCCAGGATGGCCTCAAACTCATAGGGATCCTCCTGCCTCAGCCTCCCAAGTGCTGAGATTGCAGGTTGTACACCACCGTATGCCATTTCCATTAACCTGCCCTGTTTATCCCTGGGCTCAGTGAGCCTGCAGCCCGTGCTTGGGTTTCCTTTTGTATTCAGTGCATGCTAGACATCTGCCAAGCCTGGACAGAGCCATGGCAAGAGGACAAGCTCCCTGTCACTACGTTGGCCTTCCTGCACCCAAGACCCTTGACTCGACTGCCAGGATGAAGCTGTGTAGCCTTGGCAGTGCTCCTGGGGTCCTCCCAGCCCCTACCATGAACGGAGGATCTCAGCACCACCCCTGTAACCTCTGACCTTTCAAGCTTGACAGGTTTGGTTTAAGATTCAGTTCATGACATTCTGCTGGCCTTTCCAGGTAACAGATTTCCTATCCTTCTCCATGAACTTTCTATCCTAAAATTTGTCTGTAATCTGAGAAGTCCCAAGCATTAGTGACCACTGCTATGATTTACCCAAAGCTTCTGCTGGCCACTTTGGGGGCCCTACTCCCTGCTGAGGATCCCCACAGCTTTTGAGAGCTGCAAAAAAGTAATCACTTTGCTCCAGCTGGAAGCACTGCTCACAGCACACACGCTGTGCCGGGTGATTTGGTGCTACCGGAGGTGTGGATTTTGGTTCACTAGTACAGGCTTACAGTACATGTTGGGGTAGATACACGTACTTTAATAAAATAAATTTGTGTTTAATGTAGTTACATTTTTTTCATATCTTAATTCTTTTCATTTTCTTTCTCTTTCCCATTCTGTCTCTAGATCCCCTCTACCCTGTGATTTTTTTATTTTTTATTTTTTTTGTCTTTTTCCTTTTTATCGGTACCGGGGGTCGAACTCACGACTGCCTGCTTTACAAGGCAGGCACTTATGCTGCTGAGCTAAATCCCCAGCCCCGATTTTTTTGCTTTTTAAAAATCGGTACCAGGGATTGAATTCACCACCGTGCACTTACAAGGCAGGCACTTGTGCCGCTGAGCTAAATCCCCAGCCCCTGGTTTTTTTTTTAAGCTCGTGTTTATGACACATAATGATTACCACTGTGATGGGTACACGTGCATGACACATTTTAAAACTTTTACCTCTCCTTCACCAGTCTCTTGGGCCCCTTCCCATTTGTTGACTTTTTTTTTTTTTTTTTTTTTGTCTTTTTCCTTTTTATCGGTACCGGGATTCGAACTCACGACTGCCTGCTTGCAAGGCAGGCACCGCTGAGCTAAATCCCTAGCCCCCTGTTTGTTGACTCTTGCTTAGGTAATTAGAGTTCTATTCAGAAAGTTTATGACTACACCTATGACTTTATCTAGTTTGTCTTCCAGCAGAATGATTTTGTTTATATATTGATATCTGTGATTCTTTTTTTTTTTTTTTTTTTGTCTTTTTCATTTTTATCAGTACCAGGGATCGAACTCACGACTGCCTGCTTGCAAGGCAGGCGCTTATGCCGCTGAGCTAAATCCCCAGCCCCTGCGATTCATTTTGAGTTGTTTAGTGAGAGATATTGGTCTGGATTCAATTTTCTGCATGTAGATAGCTAGTGAGGTTGTCTTTCCTTGATGTGTTTTTTTGGCCTTTTTGTCAGCGATCAGGTGGCTTTGTACTCCCACCATTTGGGAGGCTGATGCAGGAGGATCACTGCAAATTCGAGGCCAGCGAGAGCTACAAAGTGAGTTCAAGGCCAGCCTAAACTGCATAATGAGACTTTGTCTCAAAAACAAAACCAAACAAAACATCAGGTGGTTGAATATGTTTGAAATTGTTTCTGCATCTTCTAGTTTGTGCTGCTGAGCCACATATCTGGTCTTATGCAAGTACCATGCTGTTTTTATCACCATAACTCCACAATATAATTTGGTATCGTGATGCTTCCTGCTTTGCTCTTGTTGCTTGGAATTCCTTTTGTTATTGTGGATCTCATTTGATTCCATATGAATTTTATAATTGTATTCTCTAGTTCTGTGAGAAATATATTTTGATGGGATTGCATTAAATCTATATATCTGTCTTTTTATTTTTTAAATTTGATTATTTTTCTGCCAGGAATTGAACTCAGGACCTTGCACTTGCCAGGCAGTGCCCATTCATTTATTTTTATTTTGATACAGGGTCTCACTAAGTCATGAAGTTGCCCAGCCAGGGCTTGAATTTTCAGTCCTTTTGCTTAGCCCCTCAGAGTGCTGCTGTCACAGAGTTGAACCTTTGCAGCCATCTGAAGACCAGTTTCTAACATTGGATTATATTTACTTGAGTGTTCTTGGACTCTGTGTGATCTAACAGCCATCCTCTGATAAGGATGCATGAAAGGAAGGAAGGAGAGGCCAGGGGTTTAGCTGAGGAGCACAAATACCTACCTGGCAAGCACAAGGTCATGAGTTCGATACCCTATTAAAAAAAAAAAAAACCACAAGGAAGGAAGGATGGGAGAGAGGAAAGGAGAAGGAAGGACAACAAGAAAGAAAGAAAGAAAGAAAGAAAGAAAGGAAGAAAGAAAGAAAAGACTCACCTGTGCTGTTTTGCTTACTGCCTGTGTGTCTTCAGACAGGTTAATTCTCATCTTTGGAGCTCAGTTCTTCATCTGTAGAATGGAACCCCATCCGCCCCACTGGGCTGTGGTGAGAGATACATGAGGGAAAGGAGGTCTAGCACTTAACTTTCTAAGACAAAGCTATCAAAATAGAAAAGTTCCAACTATTACTAATTTTTTTTAATGCCTTGTCCCAGAGTCCTGGATCTCACAGCCTCAGGAGAAAGATTCAGGAGCCCCCCTGCTGGGGGGGGCACTAAGCTCCGCTGAACACCCCAATTTGCACTGCATGGTTCCAGGCAGCAGATTGCCTTCTAGTCCTGCAGCAGGGAGCGAGCCCCAGCTGAGCCACAGCCCAGGGAGGCCTGAGCTGTCCTAACAAGGCCACCAGGGTGCCAGGAGACCACAGGCACTTCACCTCCCCTTCTAAGGATGAGTTTCCTCACTGATGAGCAGCGACAGTTGTGTCTGCCTCACTGGGCTCTTGTGAGATTAAAAGGCCACAGGGGCATGAAGACCTTTGCCAAGGGTCAGGCCCTATTAGGGTTTATTGCTCTCAAAAGAAAAGCAAGGGATGTTGTACCCCAGAGGAGCCAAGCTTTCCCCTAGCTAAAAGCCTTTGACTTGAACACTTTTCTTTGCCTGCCCATTCTATTCATTCATTTGATGGTCATTCACTGAGCACCTACTATGTGCCAGGTAGTCTGAGATGCTGGGATAGAGCGGAGAAGAAAATCTCATGGAACTTCTTTACAAACGGAGGCAAAGATACATGTCACATGTCGGAAGCCAGACCCACCACCCCCTCCTCCAGCAAGCCTTCCCTGTTAGTCACTCCTCCTCTGGCCCCCAAGGCCAGTGGTCACACTGCCGTGTCATACCTGGCTTTGATAGCTTCATCGAGGAGCCTGTCTCCCTCTCCTCTATACCCTTGGCACCCAACACAGGGCCTGAGGCTGAGAGGCGAGACACATCTGTCTAACACACAGTGAGAGGAATGGATGAGAGGAATGATGTAGGCCAGGAGCTCTCCAGTCGTTTCTTCCCTCCTTGAATGCATTTTGTCAGGCAGCACGGTGTATGTGACTGTGGGGGTGGGGGTGGGGGTGGGAGGGTAACAGTAAGGTCCTGATGCATCCTGTAAGCTGAAAAGGCACACTGGAGGACAGGAGGTAGGAGTGACCATCTCTCGAAAGGTAATAGAAATCCTTTACGTTACCTCTCTTTACCCTCCAGCGAAGTGGGTGCAGTAACTGTGGGTACAGGTGAGGAGAGAGGCTCATAGGAGCTCAGTCACGTTCCCAAGGTCACACAGGCAGATGGTGGCTGATGGAGGGTAGAGGTCACGACCAGGCCTCACCTCTTCCTTCTGCAATCATGACACACAACACTTGTCCACCCGGAGGGCTTGGGGCCCTAAGGTGGGAGAGGTTGCTAAATTGGGATCTTGGAAGCTTCTAGAGTGAGAAAGTTGCCTAAGGATCCTTAAAGGCAGGAGTTACTGGTGAGAGGGTAGCAAGGGGCCTCTCTGAGTATGTGAAAACCCTGGGATCTTGGGGAGGGGTCCTTGAAGGGCTCTGAAGCCGAACGGTGGTCAGGAGAGGGTGGGTTATTACTGCCTGCCCAGGTTCCCTGTGGCAACAGCTGCTCCTCCTGGCAAGCTCTGCCCCCAGCTCCCTGGTCGCCCCGTTTCCAAGTACACCACTTGTTTCTGATTAACATGGGGTGCATGGAGAGATGTTTCTCTCCTGACTCCTGGGGTTGGCAGAGCTTCACCCCCTCCCGAGGTCCTGCTTCAACAAACCCACTTTGTGGTATTCAAATCACCCGTCCTCCTACTGTCCCTGCCTACTGAATCCTCCAGCGTCTCCAAACTTTGACCTTAGAGCCCTCTGCTGACGCCACTGCAGAAGTGGCTCAGACCCAGAGTCTTGCACCTCTTGGCTTCCACCTCCCAAATCTTATGGAGTGCTTCTAGATCAGCGAAACCTCGGCCACATCCAGAGCGCAGCTGCAAGGAAGGGTGAGAAGCGTAGTTTTCTACCTTCTATCCCTGAGTACAGGACGGCACGCTAGGAAGGGATGCTGAGTGCCGGCCACTGTTTCCAACACCCTTCGGGCCACCACAGACCTCTGCTGTCCTACCCATCACCCTGCCCAGGGGCTGCTCCTGCTCAGGGCCCACGGACTGAAGGCTTCCTTTGAGGCCTCCTTCCCTGGAGCTCCTATGCCAGCAGGAGGTATTTATGGGAAACCCATGAAGCCAATTCCCTGTCAGAAGAACAGGAATAGCCTTCTCACAGGTTTATTAAGATAATACATATGCTATATGATTCACCTCTTTAAAGTACACAAATCAATATTTCTAGTAAAGTCATCGTGTTGCACAACCATCGCCAGAGCCTAGAACAGAACATCGTCCTGCTAAAGGCACGTACTCCCCGCCCCCAGCTTCCTATAACCACTGCTCCTGCTTCTATGACTGGCCTGTTCTGGACAGTTTATATACATCAAATCCTGCACTTCTGTATGTTGTCATTTATGTCTGGCTCCTTGCACTTAGCGAAGCATTTTCAGTGGTCATTTATGTTGTAGGGTGGATCAGTGCTTATTTCTGGTGAATAGATTCCCTTTGTTTATTCACCCATCAATTGATACATGTTTGTTTCTGCTTTTTTTAGCTACTCTAAATAATGTTGTTGTGAATATTCATATATAAGCTTTTGTATGAACATAACTTTTTTTTTTTTCTTTTTTATCAGTACCGGGGATCGAACTCATGACTGCCTGCTTGCAAGGCAGGTGCTTATGCCACTGAGCTAAATTCCCAGCCCCTGAACATAACATTTTCTTTGCCCTGGGTATGCTTAGAGATTTGACTTTTTCTTTTTAAGACAAGGTTTCACTATGCAATTCATGCTGGCCTTGAATGTATAGCTATCCTCCTGCCTCAGCCTCCCACGAGCTAGGATTATAGGTGTGTGCCACCACCGCCTGGCTGACCTTGGTGTGTTCAACTTTTTGAAGAATTACCAGACTATTTCTGGTCTATTTCAGACATGACTGATGCACCATTTTCCATTCCCATCAGCAGTGTACAAGGGTTCTAATTTCTCCACATTTTCACCAACAAGTTTTGTGTGTCTGTTCCTGTGTTTAATTATAGTCCCTCTAGTGGGTGTGAAGTGGTGTCTCACTGTGGTTTGCATTTCCCTCATGAATGATGTTGAAGATCTTTTATTTTTCCCCTCTCCTGTGGTGCTAGGGCTGAACCCAGGACCCTGCTTATGTTAGGCAAGTGCTTTACTAGTGAGCAGCAGAGCAGCCCAGCCTCGAACATTTTTATGTGCTTATTGGCTACTTGTATATCTTCTTTGGAGAAATATCTGCTTAGATTCTTTGCCTTATTTTTAAATTGGATTTTCTTTTATTATTGAATTGCAAGCATGTTTATATTCTGTGTACATGTTTCTTATCAGACACATGATTTGAATTTTTTCACTTATTCTTTTTCTAAACATTCTTTTTTTTTTTTTTTTCTTTTTGAGACAGGGTCTCTCTATGTAGTTCAGCTGGACTTGAGCTCATTTTGTAGACCAGGCTGATCTTGAACTTGCAACAATCCTCCTGCCTCAGCCTCCCGAGTGTCTCATTCATTCTAGAGGTCGTTTTTTTACTTTTTAAAATTAGTTAATTATTATTTCTTATTTATGGTGCTGAGGACAAAACCCAGGGCCTTGTACAGTCTAAGCAAGCACTCTGCTGAGGAGCTACATCCTCAGCCCTCACTTCCGGTTCATAAAAAATACTTTGAGGTGAAATAGTCTAAAATTAACTATTTAAAGTGAAAATGCATTTAATACATTCACAATTTTGTAAAACCATGATTTCTCCATCTAGTTCTAAAACATTTCCATTGCTTGTATCCAAGAAGTTTCTCTTTAACCCTCCCCGTCTTCCCTTCACAGCCCCAGAAATGTCTGCAAAATCTACTGTCTGCATAGATTTAGCAATCCCGAACCTTTTAAATAAGAAGAATCATGCCACAAGTGCTTTTTCCCCTCAGTTCCAGGGATTGAATCTATGGCCTTTGAGCTACCTCCCCAGCTCTTCTTTTCAAATTTTTAACTTCAAAACCAGGTCTTGGTAAGTCACTAAGTTGCCCAGACTGGGCTTGAACTTGGATCTGCCTGCCTCAGTCTTCCAGAATGCTAGAATTATATACAGATGTACATCACTATGCCTGACCAGTGTGTGACCTTTTATGTCCAGTTTCTTTCACTCAATATAATGCTTTGGAGGTTCATCCACGTTGCAGCATGTGTCAGTACATTTATGAATGAATATTATCCCATTATACATATATGCTACAGTTTATCCACCCATTAGGGACATATGGGCTGTGTTTATCTTTGGTCACTGTGAATAATGCTGCTGTGAATGTGTATATGCATGTATGAGTCTGAGTGCCCACTTCCAGTTAGCCACAGTCTACACCACAAATGGAATATGATAACTCTTTAACCATTTTTTTTTTTTTTTTTTTTTTTTTTTGGTACCAGGGATCGAACTCATGACATCACGCTTGCCAGGCAGGCACTTACACCGCTAAGTTAAATCCCCAGCCCACCTTTAAGTTTCTGAGTAACCACCAAACCACTTTACCTCTGTGTCTTAACCACTGTGTATTCCCCATCAACAATTTCTCTACCCTCTTGCCCAAATTTGCTATTCTCCTACTTTTAATTTACATTTGTTTCTTTCTATGATGGAATTCTTTGAAGCACAAGCTTTTAAAAATTTAGTTGAAATCAAAGGTACCTATTTTATCTTTCGTTGCTTATACTTCTGATGTCACAGTTAACAATGCTTTGACTAACCCAATGTCACAAAGACTTGCTTCTATGTTTTCTGCTAAAAGTTTTATCGTTTTTAGCTCTTAAATTGAGATATTTTTTTCCATCACTGGAGATTGAACCCTGGGCCTTTGCACTGAGCTGTGTATTTTGAGGCAGGGTCTCACTAAGTTGCCCGGGGTGAGCTGAAACTTGTAATCTTCCTGCTTCAACTTTCCAAAGTGCTGGGAATATAGTTATACACCACCATGCCCAGCTTTTAGGTCTGTTTTTGAGATAGATCTCTATATGATAAGAGAATCGAGTACAATTTAAAAATTTTTTGTTTTTTTTGAAACGGGGTCCCTCTATGTAGTTCAAACAGGCCTTGAATTCATTAGGTAGTTCAGGTGGGCCTTAAACTCAAAGCAATCTTTTGGCTTCAAGTCTCCTGAGTGCTGGGATTATAGGTGTACTCTACTATGTCTGGTTTTAAATTTTTTATTTTTTAGAATTTTGAGACAGTTGAGCCTGGGAAGGGGGCACATACACACCTATGACTCCAGCATTTGAGAAGCTACGGCAGGAAGATTGTTATGAGTTTGAGACCAGCCTGGGCTCTGAAGTGAGCTCAAGGCCAGGCTTAGTGAGACCCTGTCTCAAAAAGACAAAAAAAATAAATAAATAAAAGTAGATAAATAAATAAAATATGGAGATAGTGTCTTGCCAAATTGTTGGGATAGGATCAATTTGGAATTCTTCTGCCTCAGCCACCCAGAGTACCGAGTACAGAGATTACAGGCATGTGGTAGGTACCATGCTGGGCTAGGATGTCATATGTATAAGATCATGCTCTCTGTATGTAGAAATAGTTCCCGACTACTTTTTTTTTTTTTTTTTGAAACAAGGTCTTGCCATGCAGTTCATGGTGCCTTGAGTTCATTATGTAGCCCAGGCTGGCCTCAAACTCATGACAATCCTCCTACCTCAGCCTCCCAAGTGCTAGGATTGCAGGCGTGTGTTAAATTCATTTTTGTTGTTATTGAGCAAAATTTTATTGCTGAGACTGACTATATGCCAAGTTCAACAGCCAGGGAGAAATCCTCTTGTTATTCTCCAAGACTCGGGACACCATTTGTAAATACTGTGTTTTCCTGAGACCTCTCACCTGTCTTAGAGCAAAGAAAAATGGTTTGCAGCTGGGAATGGTGGCGCATGCCTTTTAGCCCACTCTGGAGGCTGAGGCAGGAGGGTTGTCATGAAGTCAAAGGCTAGTTTGAATGGCATAGGGAGATCTTGTCTTGAAAAACATGGTTAACTTATTCTGAAATCATTCCCAGCCTCCAAATATGCTGGATCTTTAAAGCAAGTAGGGTGTCGGGGACAGTGCCTAATGGCAGTGTCCAGTCATATAAGGGAACAAGCTGCTCCTTTGTAAGGAAAAAAGTTATCAGGACAACCTGTATCCATCCTGGGTAGTAACTGAATTCCTTAGGACCAATTATGAAATGCTGGAGCACTGTTCCACGAGCTA